GACCAAAACCGAACCGACCAGAACCGACCGTTCCGAACCCACTGTTCTCGTAGAGCAGCGAAGACTGAGGTGCCGAACGATCGCTCCATCATCGAAGATCTTGGACACCACCAAGTACTGATTCCTGGGCAGCTTGAGGCGACCATCAGCAACTGAGCGCGCCATCAGCTTGACAATGCAAACTTTTGTTGATAGATCACTAGGCACGTACAAAAGTGCTTGACAATTGACCCAATGGCTTCAAAACACAAAGAAAGGCGACCTCCGAACCAAATGGATCGTGCAGCCAAAACGCGTCGTCCGCGTTTTGACATGATCCAAATGCGGACCCAATGCATCTGAAAGCTGAGGAGCAGAGTAGAACGATTCGAAAGAGTATGCTGATTGTTCTCCCACTACACTTGATGAATGCAAGGTTGTTATTGTGTGTCTTTTTTTTTCCCTCTTCAGGATCTTCATCTCGTGGTGCCGTGATTGGTGCTGGTTCCACTGGTTCCATGCTACATGATTCTCTCAAGAAACAAATCTTCATTCCCTCGCCGACTGGCTACATGCTAGGCTAACCCTAAGGCTAACTATACGCGGCTACTCATCATAGGCTAGGGCTGGGTCACAGGTTTCACAGAAAATACACTCCCTGGAACGTCCTCATGGAAGTGGATGGCGAGGGCATGCGAGGGCCCCAAGTTCGGAATACCATGAAATCCACGACGTTCAACAGGTGGTGCCATCCACTTCCATGAGGTCCGTCTCTCTGCCCAGCCACCGACCATGACCGAATCCGCCCCCCTTCGGCCCTTCTCTGAACCGGCGCACTTCTTGTGTTTCACATCCTTGGCATGCGAAAGCACTCAAACATGTTTCATAGAAATGGAGTAGAACGGTAGAACTTCATTAACTGGAGAGTGGCCAGCCCTATACTGATCACAAAATAGATAGGAACAGTTTGCAATACACTCTAATGTGTATGGTGAGGTCACAAGTCTGAGTCTAGGTGAATTGTATGTATTATCTTGTATAAAACCCCTACACACTTGTGTTGGAATGAACATTCAATCTATCAGGGTAGGTAGTTCACAAGCCAACATGTTTATAGTTTTTTTTTTTCCGTGAACAACTCAACTGGTGATCCTCAAGTCTGAGCCATGTCACATTTGGAACTTGCTGGGGAAGGGAACCCATACAGTGCAATTGCTTCAATCCACCAATACAGTGCAATGCCTGCATGAAAAAAACAAGACATGATCTTCAGCACCTGGATCCTCGGGTGGACCTGGAGTTTCTACCGAAACCCTTGGCCAATCACCGAAACCTAATGGGGTCACCGATAGAGACTCTGAAGTTCCTAGTGGCAAACTAGACAAGCCCTTAGTTCTTGTCACCACTCCCAATCACAAGAGTAAAGACATAGTGAACACTAAATCTAGTATGCGTGCATCTTGAAGGGTGTCAAACAAACCAGTGCATCTTCCAGGGTGAAGGGTGAACGGTGGCCCCCCGTTGCCACCTAAATCCAACATACTGGTGTCAGTGTTCACTCCCTTTTGCTTACCTTACTCACAAAGACTTAGCATCAAGGAGTACTATCCAAGGAGTTTTAATGGATCCACGACACAAACTGAGCCAAGGCTGCACCAAAAACACACACACATACCCAACAAGTGAATGCTCGCTCCATTCACAACAGGGGGTAGATCATACTATCTAGGCAAGAAGTTTCTCGATACTTAGTTTAGGCACCCTCTTCTATCATCTGAGTGTTAGTGCCTCTTGTATTGGTTGTAAACTAAGTTGATGTTGTGGAACATGGTTATGGACATGTTCAATGCTGTGAGTCTGGGAGGACATTTGGGGTATGTAAGGGTTCTGTGCTGTGAGTGATAATGGTGAAAAGGGGATTTGAACATTGGCGTGGGGCCAATTTACAGTAATGCAAAGGTCTCTGTATGTTGCAAATGGTAGTCTTTGCATCTCTGTTACAGTAGTCTATGTCGTTGACATATAAGTGACACTTCCTCATGCGGAGCTGTGTCTGTGCCCTCTGTGTCACTCCCCATCAGAATATATCCGACCCAGTAAAGCACGGCGCAGCACGGCACTGGGCCCATCTGCATGTAATCCTTTCCACGAGCAGATTCGTCATTTTATGGAAGTGTCGGTTCCAGCTTTGGTACAAGTGACGTTATCTATTGGCCATTGTGTTGTGCAAGAAACATGAAGCCTAACCAAGAAAATCACCTACAATGGCAGAGTTCCGAACTCAAAACTACCGGTACAAGCATAAAACACTACAGCTATTTTAAGAAGACATTACCTGATATACCTCAAGACTGTCAATGGTATTCAATGCTTCCCTGCCCCCAGGACGCCCCCAGGACATGAACCGCTCGAATTTCTGGGCGGCCCAGTGGCCATGCCCAGCAGGTCACCATGGCCGGATTTCTGCACGGTGAAGGTAAAGGTCTTCTCCTTTTCCTGTGGAAACTGCGCGAGTTCTCTCACGGAACTGAGTCTCATCCAGCAGTTGGGCTTGGTCTAGCTGAGTCTAGCTGGCCTACTAGCTGGCTACTAGCTGGCTCTCGGTTTTGAACGGGAGGATGATGCTTCTTACTGGGATGACTATGATAGATGGTTGCAACATACGGGTCTTTATGCACTTGATGAAGTCTTCGTGCAGCACTGTAGGAGTCGGTCTGTTGCCAAGATGAGTCGACGGGTGGTCTTCAAGAATTCATATGAACTAATATCTTTCAAACAGGAAATCTCTGGTAGTATCATATGAATGCCTTGTTTAAAAGCTGTCCAAGCTCTTTGGCTTTGACCATCTCCAGATCCGGGTGGGCTCATGATCCGGGTTGGCCACCTTTCAGGCAAAGTCTTTTGGCTCTTGTACAGATCTACCAGAAGGGTCAAAATCAGCTCCTCCAATCACCCAGTACACCACTTGGCAAACATAGGTGGTCTTATTTATCTATATGCAACACTGAAGGAATGTCATGTCACATGTCTCACAAACTTCGATGGCATTTGTCTAGACACTTCGTTTGAACCTCAAAAAAGGCTCAGTTCGAGCTCAGTTCGGCCCGGTCTGAACCACGGTCACACCCCGGGGAATAGACACGGTCTGGATACGTGGTCCGACCGTGAAAACCGCCAATAGGATCAATAAGGACCCCATAGAAAAGCACAGGTGACTCATGGCGGATTTGACTAGGCCTGTAAGTGTAGATTGTCTTACAATTTATGTCTTAATGATCTAACAGCTTCCAAATGGACCACAGTTCCAAATGGGATGCTTCAGGAACCGCGACACGACTCAACCATCCACCGCCTTCCGACGACCGATCTCGACTCCCGCGACACTCGCCGACGCTTCCCGCCTCGACACTGACGCGATCTCCCGGCGGAGCCGCCGGAGGAGTGAAGTCCTGGGACCGAGCGCATCGTCGACGCCCCGATGTCACTCACCGGGTGTGGCAAACGACCAAGTCGTCACATGAAATACTGCAACACCGAATACGTAACCGGTTGTTGCTGTTGCTGCTCTTCTTCTTCTTCTTGTAGATGGTTCTTTCGGGGGCAGAATGTATACCCTGAGGCCCTGAGAGTGTCGCTGCAGCATATAGAGGATATAGAGGAATCCTTTAGGGGACCTGATAAGGAAGTTCCTCTACTTTCACCAAGAAAGAAGTATGGTCTTTGGACTTCAGTGGTATAGATTCCCGTCCGATGGAGTGTCGTGCTATAAGACGGTGCGACTGGCGAGGATGAAAGGAGGACCGGGTATAACTAGGGTGGTGCAGGAGTTTGTCTTGCAACTGCACCTCAGTTCACGGCCTCAGAATGAGGATCCCACACGGGCCCTCTTCACCTTCCAACAATTCTTTGGTGGCTAGCCCGCTGGCTGGCCCGCTGCCGCAGAGGAGCATCAGGCTTGTCTTGCAAGGGGCCCTTTTCTACTTCAATGGCTCATGTTGCTATATAAACCTCTTGGATCAGGGTCTTGGAAGCTTTTTGGTATGGTACTGTAATCAGAAACACAAAATCAATTCACTCCTATAATCACAAACAAGTTATTTTTAATATACCAGGCTTTCTCCCACCCAGCATCATGCCACAAACTCCGCTTAATTAGCATGTCACCTTGGCATGTGATCCTCACATAACGCATGAAGGTTGCATAACGCATCCTCAATTTCAAAGGGTTATAGATAACATCCACATATCCAAATCATACCAAGAGACTGCCGCAAAAAGTCGCTCAGATCCGTTTTTTTTCCACCCGGTCCTGATCGTCGTCCTTGCCCACGCAGCAGCCCAGCATGGCGACACGCAGCAAAGCTCCGATTTTCAAAGGTTCCAGAAACACGGAACGAACGAAATCTGCACCGATTCGCAGATCTAGCGATATGAACTCATGCTGAAGTGTGTCCATCTCTCAGATCACGGCAAAGGGACGAAAACGGCAGCAAAGGGATGGCAAATGTGTGAAGTTTGCGTGATCTTCCAAAAGAATATTCTGTTCAGGGGTCGAAGTGTACCCCAAAAAGTCGCCGCATGTGCCATGTGACAAAACATCTTCGTCTTTGCACTCTTCAAGGGCGCCTGAAGAAAGAATCTCTTCAAGCAGGACAAGGTCTTCTGTATGGACAATGAAACCATGGCGTTCCAGGATAAGCAATAAATCAATCTACAAACTGAACGTATCCCAGTTCGGTGAATTATCAGCTCTTGATAAGCCTGGTGTTTTCATGGCGAGTCTCACTTGACCACAACATGCTGAAAATCCAAAGAGGCTTCCTGTTGTCCAGACTGGATGATATGTCAACATATATTATATACGATGTATAGATATATCGAATATATAAACTGTTCCACAAAAGCAACTTGTCAAACACAGAAAACCCACACACAATGCTTGATAAACTCCGACTATGGAAATTGGTCTCCTACAGTATACAGGTCAAACTTTGTAGTTTCGGAAAACCATGTTTTTGGACCGGACGCCTTCCTGTCCGCGATGATGAACCTAGCCAGAAAACCCACGAGGACGAGTCCAACCCCCCCAAGGAGACGATCGACCCTCGGGCAAAGTTGACCCATTGCAGCGCTTCGTTGCTCGGAGAATGCAGGTGTCATGGCGAGGGCAAATGCTACAGGTGCTCTCAGCCCACGCGAAGATCCTCATCCGGCTGTGTCTCAGGCAGAAT